ACGATTTTATTTTTTTACTTCTTAAAGTTTTGCAATGAACGTTAATTATCAAATATACTTTCAATTATTATTCATAACACTTTACAATAAAACATATATTTTATTTTTAAATTAAAACAAAACACAAAATATAAAACGCATAACAAACATGCCTTAAATTAATAATAGGATTTCTAGTTTTAGTGATTCCTTTCTATTTGAATTTTGACGATTTGTTAATCATCATGAAATGAATTTTTTTATTTTTTATTTTTACCTGGCTGAGTGATTGAAATTGAATCAACATACAAAATATATGAAGGTGACACTTTTGACCAACAACATTATAATTCAAATGTTGGGTCCTACCTTAGCTCTCATGCTAACATGAGAAAGGGAGAGATATAAGACTATAAGAGTGATGAATGAACAAGACAAAACAAATTAGCAGTTGATGGGACTACATACTGAGAATCAATGGTGTGCTGACACAGCTTGTGGAAAGAAAATTCCCAATGGGGAGATCTGGATCGTTCGAATTCAGATCTACGGCTCCTAGTGATATCCAACTCTTGCAAGCTACAAAGGATGTGGGTAGTGGGACACGTGTCATTTTGAGGGAGGCTTTTTTTTTTTTTTTTTTTTTTTTTGCTATCTCTCTCCTGCAGTCTCCTTTTGGGGAGTAAGGGAATATCAACGTTCTAGAAAGCTTTAAGTATATTATTATAAACCCAATTTTGATTTACAAGTTAAATTCTTTGCAATGATTTATTCCTCTCCTTTTTCTTTTATCTTTTTTTATTTTATGTCTTCCAGTTCCTTTTAAACAATAAAGAAGCAGTTCAAAAGAATTTGTACATAACAAAACTTAATTTCAATTAGACTTTACTGTATGTCACTAAAAGTGCAATTATATGATATGCTAAGAGTGGGAGAATAGTGTGACAAGTATAATTCTCAACACTAATTTTTTATTTTTTTTTTACCAATTCACATTCTAATGGGTTTTTTATTCAAAATTTTACTATAATACCAATGAATGATTTTACCATTTATCATTTTGTAGGAACTTGTACCGGATAGATAGGAGGTTAATTATGAACTATGGTTCGCAGTATTAGTTACGGTAACAGTGTAATGGATTTGGACATAATCAGTATAAATTGATTTATACGAATCGCATATCGAACTTAAAAAAATATCGCGTATCGAAAGATACGACGAATCATGAAACGAACCCAATTTCCTTCCTACTCATAAGAGAACCGATGTTCATCTTATGCGTTAAAACTATACCGTTTTGATGCACAACATAATGGGCAATCCAATTATTTTATAATGAACATAAAAGAATTTTAATATTTTTGAGAAACGTATTGGGTGCAGATGTGACATGTGCAGGTATTTCAGGAATATAGGATCATCTTCATTATTTTCAACCAATCTTAACTTTTTATTGATGAAATGGTGTTATTATATCCATTGGATTACGAGAGAAAAATTAAAAGCAAGGCAAGAGGATCCTGATTTGCATGTATTTCAAACCTCCAATTTTGTTACTGCTACTACATTTTTACTATGTGGTTTTTGGACCTTTTTTCACCTGATCACCATATATCCTTGTACATTCAAGCATTATCAATACAATTATACCTTACAATATATATATATATATATATATATATATATATATATATTATGATTCGTCATATTGATCGGCTCGTAACTTTTTTTTTAAGAGTTCGATACTGTTATACATTTCTATGAACTGGTTGATTCGACTGATTTATATTGATATTAGTCCGAATTCACTCCACTGCGACTTCAAACTATGATATATGTGTGTGTGTGTGAAAGTATTGTGCACAACATTTTGATGGTGAATGAACTTGTGTAGATCAAAGAGAAGAATGCATGTATCCCAATGAGAAAAGTTTATGACACATTCGTGAAGCACTCACTATGAACATAAAGAGCAAATTTTGTACACTTCCAAAAGATAGTGGCATGACAAAACTTTTTTTTCTTTCCTTTTTTTCTTTTCGAAAGATTAAGCAACTGTATATATAATGGTAATAGTACATAGACATAACTTGAAGAGCTACACATCAGATAAAAAAACAAACCCAATAGTACGGTTCACACTAGTAACTAGTTGGTTCTTGGATTGATTTTTAAAGGCTGGACCTACTACCCAAAGTGCTCGATGGGAATGCTGAATGTAATTAGTGGTTGATTGGGTCCCATTCGTTTTGTTTTATTAGCTATATATATTATCCTTTATATATATATAATGGGCAATAAAAAAGAGGAACAATATATAATTATATAATGGCATTAGATAGATCATAGAGTCTCGGTACCGCCTGAAACACAATTCCTCTAAATATATTAAATATGATTTAATAAGAATATGATAATTGAAAGCATACTATATAATAAAGATGTCCCATAGAATATATATTAATTTATATAGGAGACAAACAAGACATTATAAAGCTAGGAATGGGAATTATTTAAGGTAGCTAGCTAGCCCTCAAGTGCATGCAATTGTATATATATATATCTCTTGTCTGTGTATGTATATAGTATACATACACACTTTTTGGGCACTGCACGTGATCATCATGCCATGAAATATACCTCCTATTCATTATCCACTTCATGTATATCCAAGCATGACAGAATCGGACGGTAGATGGATGACTTCAAAAATATATAGTAATTGTTATACTCACCAAAATGTATATTTTTATATCTGTGTGTGCGTATATATATATATATATATAAATAATTTATAAATTGTTCTGATTACTAGTGGTTCCTGCTTGGCTTTTTGTTGGCATATCCCATATACCGTCACTAAATCAAAGGCATGTGATAAGCTTTAATAGGAGACAAAATTAATCTAAATTGATTTGAAATATAAAATTAATGAAAATAAGAGCCATGTAGAAAATTGGGAAAAAAATAGAAAGAACACAGAGAAAGAAAAATTGATCATTAGTACTTTTTTCCCGGAAAAAAATAAAATAGAAAATGAACTCAGTTTGTAATAGTATTTACAAAGGAAAATGTATGTTTAGAATTTAATTAAAAAAAAAAAACCTTAATTTTGGAAATATATGTCAGCGGAAATAGGAAGTCAAGGCATCCACTCTTCCATTATCACGAAAACTTATTTAACAATAAGAAAAATACTTTTGAAAATCAAGAAAGTATATATGTACGATCACCCGCTTCATTGCTAGTTATAGTTAGGAAGTACTCGAAGAGTTAGGAAGCATCAATATTTCTACATAAGTTGCGTATTCATATGGGATATTGATTCTTCTCAAATACTGGTAGATATTTTTAAGATATTTTTTTTTCTGACAAAACTTGTTTACTCACCGGTGAGTAGGGCATTCTTAGTCCCTACTGATTACTGATATGATCCAATCATAAATGCACACATAATTTGCAATTACAAAATCAAGAAAGCCATAAGTTAGAAAAATGTATTCATAATTTTAAAATTTTTTACAAGTATCCAATATTTCTCGAATACCTTTCAACTAAAAGCACGGATAATTCTATGTGTGATGTATCCGTATCGTGTCCGTATCAGGTACCAACACACCTCAAATACGAGTTGATACCTCCACAACGCATCCATAATTTTAACTTAAAACTATTTTTTTATTTTTCACACGTACCCAATACTTCTCGGATATATACTTCTCAGCTATGAAGCATGAATGTAGTTCTCCATGAGTGACGTATTCATATTGTATCTGTATTAGATACTGAAACTCCTCGTATACTCATGGATACGTATCGATATTTCTTCATTGTATCCATAATTTTTAAAAATATTTTTTTGTTCCTTACACGTATAGATACTTTTGACATACTTCTCAGCTAGGAAGCATGAATACTGCTAAATGAGTGTCGTACGCATTTTGTATCCATATCAAATAGCGACACTCTTTAGATACTCACAGATATGTGTCCAATACATCATTCATAATTTTAAAAATATATATTTATTTCTTACACGCACGTATCCAAGAAATAGTCTAGCTACCTTACTAATAATAAAGGAAAAGAAAGGAAGTGAAGTGAACAACGCAGATGACTACGTATTTAATATTTCTCATATACATCAAAGCACATTCTTAATATTAAAATGTAACTTTTTCAACAATAATATCATAATATGTATAATTATTAAGAAAAGTTAAAAAAAAAAAAAGTATTAAGATATATTCATATGTTTATATAATAATTGTATCTTTATTTAAAACATGTTAATAATTGTATTTAGATTCATAATATTATATTAGTAAAAAAAATTGCCCAAAAATTTATTTATTGTACATATATATACAAAATTCCTATTTTTTATTGTTGTATCTTTGCTATATTTTATCCTATTTTTATTATTTTGTTTTTTTAAATTTATCCTATCGACATACTCGTATCGTGTCATAATCATATCACGTATTTATCTATGGTATTCTCATTGAAAAATTAGTTGATGGTGCCTACAAAAATGCGTGAGTACTGACCAGATAAAAAAATAGTTGAGGCATTGTTTAAAATGGGGAAAAAAAAAAAAAAAATACTTCAAGTTACAACACTTTCAGCCATCAAATTATAACACATGTTCACATTTTAAGTGTTGAGCTACATGATTTTTTCATTTTCTTTTTTGGGTAAGTAAAAATACCTTGAAAAAATAAGTCAAAGTTTGATGCACAAAAACAGTAGTAGTACAAGAAGTAAAACGGCAAGTTTGGAGAGAAATAGAAACATGTCTGCGGAACTGTAAGTTATAAATATATATTTTTTACTAGTTATAATTACAAACAAGTTGAAGTGTTAATTTAATCTATAAAATATTAACTAAAATTATTTATCAAAAAAACCAAGTTCCCATTTGCGGCTTGTTGCCACCTTTCCTTGTTTAAAACCTCTTTATCCATCTATATAAAGCCCCACCTTCTCTATCCTTTTGTACTAATCCATCCAATCTCTCTCTACATATTTCTCTCTCTCTCTCTCTCTCTCTCTAAAAAAACTCTCTCTCTCCCTCATCAAATCGAAGCCTTTTTGAATCAATCAATCAGAATCTCTCCTATTTCCTGGAATGGATGGTAAAGGTAGAGGAGGTAGAGCTTGTGATTCTGCAACCATTCAAAGTGAAAAGGAGGAGATGGACCCGAGCCTGAGGAGAGGTCCATGGACGGTTGAAGAAGACTTCACCCTCATCAATTACATCTCCAAACATGGCGAAGGTCGCTGGAATTCTCTCGCTCGTTGTGCAGGTAATATCTATAGACATCTATACATACGTGTTTAATTTTTAGTGTTCGGATCCTTTGCTGTTACAACTTGCGTGTTGTAATAGCCAGATCGTTCACTGCAGTATAACATGCGTGTTGACAAGGGTTTGAACTCCTAATTCTACTACCAACAAATTTGCAAAACAACAAGTTTGAAACGTAAGCTTCAATAAACCAAAGGTGCAAAAGTTGTTTATTTCTTTCTCAACTTATTGCGGTGTTTCTCATCTAAATATTCTATAGTTTATATATAGCAAGGGGGAGCTATTTACAACCATAAACAAATATATACAGAACAAAAGCAAATATATACAGAACAAAAGCATATACACGGCACTACACAAATTATATTCTCTTGGGTGCTGATGATGAGATATAGCCATATGTAGTATACAAATATCTTTAACCTTACCATATAAAGGAAAAAAATAAAAGTAAATCAAGCAACCAAAATAAAAATTAATTTTACTGGAACTAGCTTACAAGAACTTTACTAAATATTATTTATTACATGCATTTATGAAATTAATTAAATCAAAATTCAATGAAACAGGTCTCAATCGAACCGGAAAGAGCTGCAGATTAAGGTGGCTGAACTATCTCCGGCCCGACGTCCGACGTGGGAACATCACCCTCGAGGAACAACTTCTCATTCTCGAGCTTCATTCTCGTTGGGGCAATAGGTATACATATATATACATAATATCACACATATATAAATATACCAATTCATTTTTGATTTATTAATATGAACTTGAGACTAATTCTATATATAGGTGGTCGAAAATTGCACAACACTTGCCGGGTAGGACTGATAATGAGATAAAGAACTATTGGAGGACTAGAGTGCAAAAGCACGCAAAGCAGCTCAAATGTGACGTGAACAGCAAGCAATTCAAGGACACCATGCGCTACCTCTGGATGCCAAGGCTGGTCGAGAGAATTCAGGTGGCTGCCGGAGCATCCTCCACAGCTGCCACCGCCCCCACCGCCAACGCCTACCACCTCAACACCACCGCCGACCAATTGGTTCTGCCACCCACCGGAATGGTACAGGTCAACCATGGTTTCACGCCGGAGAATTCCAGCACGGCAGCATCGTCAGACTCGTTCGGGACCACGCCGGTGTCTGACCTGACTGATTATTACAATTTTCCGGTCAACGGTAACCAGGTTAATCAGGATTATTACCAAGTTAATCAGGCGGGTTTTCAAGAATCCCTAATCAGCCCCTCTGGTTACATTAACCATGGGTTGGATTTCCAAGCCATGGAGCAGAACCAACAGTGGATTGACGGCGGCAGGGACATACCGGACAATCTTTGGAATGTTGAGGACATTTGGGTCTTACAACAGCAGCTCAGCAACACTACCATGTGAAAAATCAAACCAAAAATGTGGAGAGAGGGGGCATAATTTTATTGTAGAGCTAGAGATATTGTTGAGAAACTATACAAATTAATGAATGATTTTAGGACACAAATAGAATTTGTGGAGAAGGAGAGGTCAAATTGTGGATTAAGTCTAAATATGTTTGTGCTTTTTTTTTTTTCTTTTTTTTTTTTTCTGCGCTTGGAGGGTGTGGGGGTAAATTTGTAATTTGCTTTCTGATATCATTCTTTGAAATTGACTTTTGTACTTTTAAAGTTAATATTATATTGTTGTAGCTGTGAATAATTGGTTCCACTATCTGCTTTTTATGCCCTAAATATGTTATTTTAAGGTTCACTTTTGTTGCGGAATTGTTGTAAAATAGTCTATGGGGTCTGAACCAATCCAAAAGACTCCTGTCCTTGGAAAAGCAAAAAAAAATAAAAATAAAAACAAAAACAAAAACACAAGCAAAAACACAAGGCCAAAGCAATGATTTTTAGGGACTTAGAATTATATATTATATTAATGTAACCCAATCGAGTGGAGTGATTGCCACGTGAGTGGCTTCTTAGCTCATGTGACCCACTAATATTCTATGATTTTTATTTCTTTTTATTTGCTTATTTGTTATTGTACGGAAAAATTTTTGCCTTCAAAAGTTTGGAACTCTCTTTAGTGGACAACACATGTATACTAATATAATATTAGATCGATATTGGAACATATCAACTTAAATTGGTATAGAATATATGATTATTAGATTATGTACCCTAATTGTGTTTCTCATGCGGGTCAATTAGAAATTAAGTTAACATGATACATAAATATGTGATTTGTTAAGTTTTTGTTCTTTTAACAAACTTATTAAAATGAAATTTGAAAGCAAAACATAGATTAAGATGTAATATTAAATCATACATGAATAAGATGAGTTAGAAGACTAGAATTGTCGGCGGACGTATAAATTTTGAACTCAATTGTATTTGAATTCATATGATAATTTGAATATGAATTGAAAATTTAATATAATATTTCAAAATGCCGTGCAATTATAATAAATTATTATTTAAATAAATTAAACATCAATAACGGATCCGATCAAATATTTTATAAATATATAGATATGTGATGTATATTATTGACAAAGTATCAAAATGTTTTAAACATCATTTTTTTTTTCTGTCTCTAATTTTTTTACTCTATTTTTTTTTTCTTTTACAAAGATATATATATATATATATATATATATATATGTACACTTTTATCCATTTGTTTTTGTTATTTTTTATTATTTTTTTGTTTGTTTGTTTTTGCTTCTGTCTCTTTATAGTTGTTTACTTTAGCCGTCTCTTTGAACATTAAATTGGATTTTTAAAAAAATTAGTTTTTTTTTTAGGCAAAGGTGTGATTATTGTTATATATAAATGTATATATATCTTAGATTTATAGGGATATTTTTGTAATTAAGAATATTGAAGTGGCAAGAACATATTTATATATATATATATATATCTTAGATTTATAGGGATATTTTTGTAATTAAGAATATTGAAGTGACGAGAACAAAAAGGTGACGAAAACGTGTTGAAATAGTATATTGATAGAGAGAGAGTTTTTTTAGGGAAAGCCACCAAAGTGGTCCTAGACGAGAGAGAGGTGTTGAGGAGCTTCCACGTGTTGAGTCTAGAAAAGGTGAGCAGTAGTAGTAATATGGTTAGGCTTCCTAGACTGAAGCACTGAGAGCCGCAACCCTTGAAAGAGCGTTGCTGTGCTTTGCTGCGCCACAAGTTTCTCGATTTTTTTTTTGGCCGCCACGTAGGCCCCAAAACTATATTATATATATATATATATATATATATACATATATATATATATTCGAATAGCTAGCATTGTGTGTGTGACTGTGTGTTTATGTGAGTGTCGATATATAATTACAACTGGACTCCACTATTCGTCCATGACTCTTCTTACTGACACGTTCATTTTCTGTTCTTCTTTTCCCTCTCTACCTTTCACACTTTCATTTCATAGTTAGTGTTCTTTCCTGGTGTGGGCCCACTTTAACAGGACTTAGCTTGGAATGATTGATGTCCATATATGGGACCCTGGAATAGCCCAACTTCAGCTTTCTTGATTACACCTGACTGGGCCCAAATACACTCCTTACCGGTCCCACGGGTATATAAGACCACCTCTGATGCTAAAAAATAAAAAAATAAAAAAATAAAAAAATAAAAAAAAAAAAAAAAAAATAATTTGTACATGTTAAATTTATATTTTGTCAGGTGTTACCGTATCAAAATATTACATTTTAACAATTTTATTTCATACAAAATACTATTTTTTGACATAATCATTAATCTTTTTCAACTACTATTCCCACCATTCATATTTGTATCGGTAATATTAATATTAGGCATATTTTAAATCAAGTTGCAGATATTAGAAGGAAAGTAAAATTAAACCTAATTAAAAAGAAGCAAAAATCTAAAATATCTGGTCAAAAAAAAAAAAAAAAAAAAAAAAAAAAAAAACAACACAAAAGGAAAAAAGAGATAAAATAAAATGATATAAAAGAAAATCAAAAAATCAAAACCCATATCTTTTTATATGTATTATATTATATATATATATATGTATATTATATATATTAGATTATATTATTATTAAAAATATATATATTTTTAGGGCAAATCATTTCAGCTTCCCCAATCGCCTCCATTTCTATTATCGTTCTCTAACTCTGAAATTGCCCCCCTTCTTTTTCTCTCTGTGTAACTGCAAACTACAAAATCAACAAGAATCAAAAGTTCAAAACCTATATATTTTAGTTTATCTATCTTTATGCAAGAATCAAAAGTTGAAAACCTATTACCTATATCAAAACCCATATCGGCATATGATTTCAAATTGTTCAAAAAATCAAAACTCATATATTTCAGTTTCCATTGCTCGTTTTTCCAGTTAGGGTTCGCCGCTCGCAAGCTTCAGCCGCCGTCTCTCAACTCTCAAGCTTGCCCACCTTTCTCTGGTAACTTTTATTTTTTATTTTTTTATTTTTTTAAAATCAACTAATCAAGGTACAGATTCTTGTTTTGCAAACTAAATCCTATTTGGTGAAATTATATATATATATATATATATACCAAATCTGAACCCCCGCTTCTCTCTTTTTCTCTCTGAAATAACATTAGTTCTGGCAAAGTTAAAAATTGGCAACCCTTTTAGCACTGCATTGGAGATGCCCTAATTAAAGGTTGCATGTACTTTCTCACCTTTTAAAATAAATGCATTCATGTCCTTTTACGTTTTGTTTGGTTGAAAAGAAAAAATTAGATGGAAAAAACAATAAGGGATGGATGAGATATTCTTAAGGAAGATATTGGATAGAAGAAAAAATAATAAGCTTATAATTTACTATATTTGTTAAGAGAGAAAGAAATATAAAGTTTTAATTATTTTTACTATTCTATCAAATAATATTTCTAATATTGTAATTTATTGATGATAGTAGTGTAATTTAAAATTTGTATAATTTATGATAATATTTAATTTAAGGGTAAAGTACACCGACACCCCCCTGAGGTTTTCCATAAGGCCAATCATATACAACTTGAGTCATTTTTGGACAAAAACACCCTCTCAAGTTTGATATTGTTAACAAACACACCCCAATAGTCTCTAACATGTATTGAATTGACATTGTTGCCCTTTGACTTTTATATTGACCCATTTGAATGTGAAAATTACATTTTTAACCTCATCTAGGTTTAGTATGCACAAACCCATTTCTTTCCTTTTCTCTTCTCTCTGTTCTCTCTCTTCCTCCTCTTGCCGCCCTAACATCAGTTGCCCTTTTTCCCACAACATCACCGACACAAATTCTACCAAACCATCACCTCTTTATCCTTCCATTTTTTCTTTCTTTTATATACATATATATATCCATACACATATAACGGTGGCGATGACGGCGAGCTATTGACAAGGATTAATCGCACCGGTGAATCAGATGATCGATGATGATAAACTAGAGGCCTTTGATTTGGCTTGGTCGATTTCGTCTTCCGTTTTGGCGAGGGCGGCGATGGTGGCTCCAATGTCACCCTCATTAACTATGATGGTGGCAAAGTAGCCGTAGAAGGTTTCGATGTTCTTGTCGAACTCAACACCCACCACGATCTCACTTTCAGAGCGGCTGTCGCACCAGCTGATTGAGAATTTAATGGCCAAATTGGGGATTACTGTCATAGGTAGTGGAGGTGAAAGTGGGTGGTGGCGGCGATGGTAAGTGGTAAGGGTGGAGTCGTGGAAATTACGGTGGTGAGTAGAGAGAGATAGAAGGGGTGAGGCGGCGGCGATGGTGGGTGGCATTGGAGTAACAAGAGGACGAAAAGAGATAAACATAGAGATGAGAGAGAAATGGGATGTAAATGGGTTGTGAAGGAGAGAGAAAATGGGCTGTAAATGGGTTGTGAAGGAGAGAGAGATGGGCTGTGTATATCTATATACCCCTAAATCATGCAGGCACGACTTCGACAGTGGTCGCGGCAGATGTAATACCCATAATTTTAGAAAGGACTTAATTGAAATTTAATTATTGTTTATTAGGTGCTTATGTGGATATGTGTTTATGTGATTTCATGTTTATATTTAATTGATTAATTATTTTATTTAATTGGATTGTGTGTTTATTTGGTTATTGTGTTTGCCTGTTTATTTGTATTAATTGATTAATTGTTATTTAATTGAATTGTTTGTTTAATTGGGTATTTAATTGTATAGTTTTTTTTCTTTAATTGAATTAAATTAGTTTTAATTGTTTAAATGGTTGGTTAGTTTATTTAAATAAGTTAATCAGATTTAATTATTAGTTTTTTTAATTGTAATGTTAAAATAGGGTTTTAATTTTTTATGTCTCACTTGTTGGTCGACTAGACTAGGAATTGATTAGGTTTTCCATCTCTTATTAGAATTGGACTTAGGTTTTTATTGGTGCTTATATATACACTGTTATACGTCTTCAAAAGGGCTGGAAAAACCTTAGGCACGTACAGTGTTATAGAGAGAAAATACAGAGAGATTGTGAGGCAAACAGAGGGATTTCCGTTAGGGTTTCGGTTGTGGCTTAGAGGCTGGACCAAGGAAGAAGGTTTAGGGCTGTTTGAGGGTTAGAACCGGAGCAGAGGATTCCTTGACGGCAGTCACGATCGCCGGAAAAACTTAGGAAGACGGCGACGAGGTTTTGATTTAAAAACCACACAGGCAAGTTCTATTCTGTCTCTCTCCCCTTGGCCTGTGTTTTGTGTATA